ATATATATATATATATATATATTTTCATTCATTAATCCTTTACATTCTCAAATAAAATTACAATGCTTATGCATTTTACTAGACTTTTCCTATTATTGTAATGTTTCTCTTCTTTTTACAACAGGGGTTCTTAACCATGGGGGTAAATTCCCCCCCAAGAGGGATCAGGGTTTCCAGGGAGGGTATTTACTTTTTCACAAGTTTCCTATTGACTGTAATCTTCATCAGAACAAAATTGATTTAAATACCCAGAACTTTTATTGAACTTTTTTTTATTTTTATTGAATTACAATACACTGGCATTTAAAAAGTTTAAAAATCCATCAAAATTTTCTATTGCTATTAAATTTGTAAAATTTGTACAATGTAAATGTATATATGGAAAAGTATGATGATTTTCAATAATACATGCATATTATTTGGAATGCACCTTTTGAGTTGGACAATCTCAGAAAGAGAGATGATGACAATCTGACTTATGGTGAAAAAAGTGCATTCGGCAAAAAAGGTTGAGGACCACTGTTCTAGCAGAATATTCTATGAAAATAAATAATCTAAGTAGTAAGAATTCTTCCAAATTTACTATTTACTGAGAATACTCAGAAAAAATAATTTACAAAAAGAGCTACGAAAGACCTTCTACCAATGTTCTGTAGAGTGTGTGCTGGCATACAGCATCACTGTTTGGTATGCCAGCTTCTCAACAACAGAGAGCCCTCCAGAGGGTTATAAATGTTGCCCAGAAAATAATCGGCTGCTTGTTACTCTCCTAGGAGGACATTTATAATTCTCCATTGCAGCAGTGCAGAAAATATAACAAAAGACAGCATGCATCCCACCTACCACTTGTTTCATCCGTTACCCTCAGGGCACCCTTTTAGATCTATTAGTTCTAGGACAAAGCACTTGAGCTTTTTTTTCTTTTTTTTTATTCTTAGGTTGTGCATAAAATGAATGTTGCCATACACTGATAATTTTAACCATATTTTAAATGTCATTACATATATATAGCACCCAGCAGCGACAGTCTTTCATGCTTAAATGCAATTGTCAGGGCTGACAATTGTGTTTAATGAAACAGACTGTTATTGCTGCGTGTTGACCTCAATGTTCACTTTTATATTTACATAAACTATCCCTGATATTGAGCATTTTAACCCATATGGCATGCTGTAAATATATATATATATATATATATATATATATATATATATATATAGTTAAACCTAGAGAACCAGACAAACCTACCAAAGTTTCACCTAAGCTGATTGTCAGGGAAGACTGGCTAAAAAGGTAACGAAAGAACGTAATGTCTATAGCGTATAAACATAAAATCTTAACCACGTGACAAACAAAAAAAAAAGGATGGTGGGGAGAAAACTCAAACAACAGGTGGGTGGTGGTGAACCATTTATTCAAATCGAGATAAAACAACGTTTTCCAGACGAGTATAATTTCTTATACTTATAAGATTATTACTGCTAATATATATATATATATATTATATAAAATGGGACATGTAGCCAAAATTTAATTTGTGGCAGCCCCAAAATAAATGAAAATGAAAATGCTTTTTAAATATACAATGGAAACTTTCTATTTTCATAAAAAAAGTTAATGAAAAAAATTCAACATAGAAGTTAAGACATTAAAAAAAAAAAAATACTTTATATCAAAGAAATCAGGTCAGAGATTACTCTTTGCTATTCCTAGTACCATGTAACCTAGTAAAATCTCTCTCACATGAATAGGAGATTGGCACTACCAAGTACCCCTTCCAATGCCCTATGTAGGAGGAAATTATTCAGTAAGATATCCTGATAATCTAATAGTTCATATGACTGGAATTAGATTCTTCAAAATGATTAAAAGTAATTTATATTTCACCATGTACCATATTTCACTATAACACATAACAACTCCATGCCCATCTGCTTAATAGTATTTTATTGCAGAATGGCAGTAAATGCAGATAACAGCTTTTAAATACAATTGTATAACTGTTCTGTTAGCCTATAAAATATATGTTTAAAATAAATGCATAGTATGCAACCAGGAGAGATTGTGAGTCATGTGTTTTGGTGTTGGTAATCTCTTAGAAACAAAGAAAAGGCTGCTGAACTCTTATGTAATATCAGTCCTCTATATGGCAATGAATGCTGGACAGCCTCCTCACAGACAAAAGAAAGACTCAAGACAACAGAAACATGGTGCTGCAAAACGATGTTAAGAATCTCCTGGGGTGAACATGTAAAAAATTTTAAGGAAAATAGAAACACAAAGGAAGCTTATTCTTAAAATTAGAAATACAGTTAAAATCTCTAGTGCATATAATGAAGAAAGAAGGCCAGGAAAATTTGACACTCACAGAACATACTGAAGCTAAGAAAGATAGCTGAAAGCAGTAAGTAACCTACCTAATGAACTTATGTAAACAGATAGCAGAACAGGGACTGAGAGGGATGATGAAAAGACAAACCTTATTGAGCTACAAAGGAAAGTTGTGGAATGTTCAGCGATTATTGTCCACATCCTGAATGGACACAGCACATAGAAGAATCTGGTATTATTTGAGCAGGCTAACTCTTGAATTATTTTTAAGATTTTTTTTATTGTACAATCACACACATGAAAATTAGATTTAAGATTCCCTGAAAAGAAAGTTAAAAAATCTCATCTGTTCTGCAAAAATATAAATGAAACTGCTGTATAAAACAAAAGAAAAAGTAAAACATTTCCTGATACATTACAGTCTATCAAAGTCTGATAAAAGTGAAACCAAGCCGGATTTGTAGCTTTGTATGGGGTTTATAAATAAAATAATTAATTAGTTTTGTTCATTATGTATTTGTTAATAGAAAATCAATCAGGATTTGGTGTAACAAAGTTACTTAATCAAGGATCCCACAAGTTGCAAAGTTCTGCCAAAGAAAGCATTTTTGGCAAACTTGGACCTTCATGCCCATAACCCCCCCTGCAAAAAAAAACAAAGTGTCAAAAGGACAGTTTTTCCATTGACACCACTATTATTTTAACTACCTTCACTCCTCAGCAATGTTTATTGTTTTAAAAAGTGATTATTAGAATTGTAATAAAATCTAAACATATGAAAGTGAATTTATACATTTTCTTCATTCTTGAGAATTGGCAACGAAAATAATAAACACTATTTATTTATTAGATTGTTTATTGGAATGGTTCGCAAAACATCAGCTAATTGCCAATTGAGTCAAATTTGATAAAATGGTAAATAAGGATTTCCTTATAGTTTTAATAATTTAGTAAATGTTTATAAATTTATAAATAAAAAATCGTTTTCATATTTATTTCTTTATAAATTGGTAAATGATAAATAATGCATTGCATTAGTTTTAATTGTATTAGGTTTTAGAATGTTGTAAATATAAAATTATTATTTTAAATAAACAATCTTATAAATAAATAGTTTATTAATATTTGTTGCAAGATCTCAAGAGCGAAAAGTATAAACTTGCTTTCATCATGTTTTATTACAATCCTAATCATCACTCTTTAAAACAATAAACATTGTCAAAGAGTTATTAAAATAATAGCAGTATCAATGGAAAAACTGTCCTTTTGACACTGTCTTTTTGTGGGCACAAAGGTCGAAGTTTGTCAAATTTTGTTTCTTTTTTAATCATTTTACCCCAAGCAAGGCAATAATGCTACTTGGATACAACGGCTTACTACGAGTGGAAGAAAATTAGAAGACTTTAGTGAGGAGAAAGGACAATAAAAGAATAGGTTTCAGGAAGACAGAAGATGTAGGTGGCAAGGAAGCAAGAAATTGGAGGGGATTTCCACAGGCAAGAAGTGCAAGAAAAGAAACTATTAAAATAAAAAATATGGTTGCATCTAACTAGTCCAACAGTAAAACAGCATGACCTGATGCATCTGATTTCAAATTAAGTTATCCTTCTCCCAGAATAGTTGTCCTTCCAAGTCCAGTCTACACTAATATTTATGGGGGCTAAATTGATTGACTGCTTTGTTTTTTACAGTTTATCAACACTTTGCAGGCTATTTAAAGCCCAAAAAATATTTCATTTTTTTTTTTTTTTTTAGATTGTAAGAATTTTCTCTTTGAGATAATAATGATTAAGTGATAAAAGTCTTACAAATTAACCCATAGCTGGGGGGAAAAAGAGGTAGATTCATAGTTTTTCCAAAGGTATTTGTGTGTAAGTGAAAAGAATGAACCCAACTGGAATTGGAATTCAATTCTTCAATTAAAAATTCCAAGCCATTATCCATTACACATCCAAGCTTCCATCATGTGATATTCCCAAGTGTCACCCATCTAGGTACTGACTAGTCTCAACATTGCTTAACTTCGGTGATTGTACAGGAAGTTGACTCTCCAAATAAAAATTCCAAGTCATTATCCATTACACCACTCACACATCCAAGCAGTCACCCATCTAGCTACTGACCAAATTTAACGTTGCTTAACTTTGGTTATGCAACCATAAGCTACCACGGAGGTTAGAATTTAGAGATTTCCTTCTAGACTGGCTGTCACCGACGGCAAGAGAACTCAAGTCTGCTTTGATATTTAACCCTTATATAGAGAAAAACAAGATCATTCCTTTTCTAAGGCTATTAATGTAAAGTGAAAAAAAAAATAAATAAATAAATCAGACTGGCAGAATTTTAATCTAGTATGTCAATTCCACTTTACACACTAGTAACAGTTGCTTTTTATTATAATGCTCAGATAATTATTCTAGAAAAGTTAAATAAACAGCAGAGATTAGAAATTAATTTTCACACTACTAGTGTAGTAAAAAATATGAAAGAAAGCATTGTTTTTATATTCTTTAATAGAGATAGTAGAATACATTGAACATACTTGTGTGAATAATTCTGTTTTAAACCACTATATAGATTATAAATAACATAAGGCAAAATACTTTCAATCTAGAAAGACTTTTTAGTTCATAATTGTGAAAAGCTATAAAGTGGAAAAAATTACTCACATTTAATTTTCACCCATATTTTATTCATGAAGACATCAATAAGAAGTGCGGTCATTACAAAAAGACAACACAGAGTGTAGAAACTAAAATCTGTGATGCAAAAAAACCTGAAAGAAAAAAAAAATCATTTTTGAGTTTTTCAAAAAGTGACAGATATTTGTTAAGCTTATTGAAGCTTTTCAAAAGACAAGCACATGTGTATTTTCAAAAAAAAATTTACATTCAAAATCATAGAAAAAAAATCAAAAAACATTTAATCCTCATCAAATGTCATTGGCCAATGTGTACACCGCTGCAATTTTTTAAGCTTTCAATAATTGAAGTCAATTACCACACAAGTCCAATTTTTTTCATGTGCTTAGACATTAGAACAAAGAAGCATTTAAAAAAAAAATAAAATAAAAATTCAAACTACAAACAAACACAAAACCCTATTACATGTCAGCTACATATACATTTCATAAAACAATTCCTTTCCTGGTCCACAATGAATATTTTAGTCTTATTTCCAATGCAAGACTATTGTTTTATTTTACTTTTATATAACATAAATTATGTTATAATTAATTCTGGCAAAATTATTACATTACTAAAACCTAATGAATATTACTACAGGAAAAGCGCCAGTAATGAACTGCAAATATTTCTTTAGCATAAGCACCAGTAATAACCTGCCAATATTTCCATTGTAGAATCACCAGTAATAACCTACAAGTTTTTCTATATGAGAAGCATTGATAATACCATCTGCATATTTTTATCTGAACTTTTTTCTTTTTAAAAATATCTGCATTTATTTACAGCAAAGTTTATCAGCAACTTAATCTACATTTCCTAAAAAAGAAATTTGAGAAATATTGTTAAAAAATACACATGTTAGTTTTTCTAGTAACGGAGTATAGTATTTATTGTTCCAAGCACTTTAGGCCATCTGAAAATGGCTAAAGAAGTGGCTGAAAGTGTTTGGGACAATAAACACTACAGACAATGTTTACACTCCCTTACTAGAAAAACTAATTATATATATATATATATATATATATATATATATATATATTTTCACACTCCCTTACACCCAAACAAACCTGAAAATTTAAGAATACTATAAGGTAACTGAAAAAGTCCTTGCAATTTTTTACGTTATGTGAGAAGAATTGATCACTGATATGCAAATGAGTGCATCATGTTCTGGGAAAGTGGTGGGGGTGGAGACATTGCTCATGACCAATGCAGGTGTGTTATGCACACGCATCAGTCATAGCTCAAGCAGTGATAAGAAAATATAGTGGTGTCAAAGCAGATCATTCAAGGTTGCCTGCTTAATGACTTTTAAGTGGGCTTGTCCACATCTGCATCAAGTCTCCAATTATCCTTTGCAGATAAAGCTGTGAGTGAATGCATCAGCAAGCATTGATTGCAGAAATTCAGATTGGGAGATCTATCATTTTCTGATGAACCCCCATAGTGGTCAGCCACATGTTCTAAATAATGAGGCCCTGAAGGCAGCCATAGATGAGGACAACAGCCAAATCTGTGGTGTCCTTACCGACCACTTCCAGGTTTCAAATGAAACAATCAAACTTCACCTTCCCTGCTTAGGGAAGGTGTACAAGTTGAACAAGTGGGTACCCCACACACTGTCAGAAGCCAACAAGCAACAATGAGTGACAGCCTGTTTCTTGTTGCTTTCTTGGCACTGCAATGTATCCATATTTGATAGAGTGTGCCAGTGACAAAAAGTGGGTCCTGTATTACACTCTCAAGCATGTCAGACATTGGTTGTTACCACGGACACTGTGCTTCACACCACAAGAACACTTCTACACCGATGTAAGATCATGCTCTGTATCTGGTAGACTAGTTGACAAAAGGTACATTATAAGCTGCTACCAATGGGTCAAACTATCACTGCAAACCTGTATTTGCAGCAGTTGGAATGTGTGCAGCAGACACTAAAACAGAAGGAGTCAGTATTGGTTAATTGCAAGGGTGTACTGTTCCTCCATGACAATGTCAGGATTCATGCAGTGCCAGGGATACTATTGGCTGGGAGACACTATGCCAGCCACCTTACTCTCTGAATTTTGCATTGACAGATTACCACCTCTTCCATTTCCTTGGACAACCAGTTTTGTGGGAAATCCTTTGCAAATGAGGTAGAAATGTGGTCAGCACTAACAGACATCTTCGAATTCAAGATCCCTTCAGTATCTGTCGATATTTCCGAGATGAGGTATTATGTAAATTATTTACATTATTCGAACTATTGTCCTCATCTTTGTCATATTTATTACAATGTTTTGGCCGTTGTATGCTCCAGCCTTCTTCAGGTTCTCAAGGACACATGGTACAGTGGATAGAGGTGTTAGTTAGATCCAGTGACAGGACCCAAAGAGTGTGAGTTCAATACCTGGTTAAGGCAGTGAAGATCTTTCAGAGGGAAATTAACAGGAGATAACTGATAACTGACATCCATTAAACATGGCACATGGAACTAGAACAGTCTACCCCAGTGAGCGAAATAAAGGGTTCAGTTCGACATTCCAACCACCTGAAGAAGGCCGGAGTGTACAACAGCTGAAACATTGAAATGAATATGGTGACAAAGATGAGGACAATAGTCTGAATAATGTAAATAATGTTCAAGATACCTGATTTTTACTACCAAAGCATTGCACAGCTAGAGGTATGTTGGCAAAAAGGTTCTAGATGCTGATGGGGATTACTTTGAGGACTAAAGGTATGTCAAATTTGCTGTATACCTTTTTTCTAATAAATAAAAAAACAGCAAGGACTTTTTGATTACCTTGTAGAAAAACTCAAAAGAATTTACCAAATTTCCTTATCTGTCATATTCAACAAAACATACCTGAAAGAAAGGTTGCTGCCTATATGTGTGCATGTGTGTGTGTGTAAATATTCTCAGATGGAATGTATCTGTAGAAAAGACAAAATGAATAAAAAAAGACAAGAGGAAAAACTATACTTGGTCGACGCATTTTGTCCTTAGAGGGACCTTATCAAGGCAATGTAGGATTTATTATACTGCATGTGTTTACATACACAGAGGCAAAGATGTCATTGATTTATCAAGGCTTGTAAATTTGAGAATGTTCATGAATGTTCATCAGGTGGTTGAAATTCTCAAATTTACATTGCCTTGATAATGAAAATTAGTAAATATAAAGAATCAAAAGTTTTGGCTTAATTCCCATTTTGTATATTTTCATTTTTTAAAGCTAAGTAAATGTTTTCAAAATGTTCTTCAAGTAAAACTGAAACAAGCAAATGTAAGATACTATTTACTTGTCAGCCTCATGAGACAAAGAAAAATTTTAGTTCAAAACTACTTTCAAATATAGACTGGTTTTGGTTTGGTTTGTTTTATGGCATATCAACCTCAATGGGTTATTTAATGCTGGCAAGATTTTTATTGCTAGTAATATTTTATTTTCAAAAACTATTTCTGGTAATATTTTTTCCAAAAATGTATTGCTGGTAATAATTTTTATTTTTTCAAAAAAGTATTGCTGGTAATAATTTTTTACAAAAATGTATTGCTGGTATTAAAACTTTCACTTTCATAATGATTTGACCCCAGTTTGTTATTTGCCCAAAGCTGGCACCCTAACAGTTGCTACCACCCCAGGTCAGGGTGGACCTGGGAACACCAGCAATTAAGAGGTGGTTCTGTGCTCCTCAAAACCTCCTGATCAGAAGCCTTACTGTTGAATGTATCAGGTCATCCCATAAGTTCTGTCCGAATTTTGAATAAAGAAAACAAGTGACCAAATGTTACATTTAATTAAAGATTCAATCAACAATGTATTTTCTTTGATTATCTATGACTTCCTTTCATCTATTAACAAGCTTACTAATTCCATTACTGTAAAATTCTTTTGGCTTTGATTTGAAGAACTCACAAATGCCTCTTCCTGTGTTACAAAAGCTGTTTCTTACAAATGATTCTGTACACTACAAAACAAATGGTAGTCTGAAGGAGCAAGATCGGGAGAATAAGGTGGAGGAGGAATTTTCTCCCAACGAAGTTCTTTGATCTTTTGTGACGTGATTCTTGCTTTGTAGGGTCGCACATTGTCCTGATGAAACATCATCTCTTTTCGATTCACTAGAGCATGTCTTTTTTTCCTCAAAGCTTGGTTCAAATGCTCTAATTGCTGACAGTATATTTGAGCATTAATTGTTGCATTAGATGTAAGAATTCAAAGTGGATTATTCCTTGGCGATCCCACAAGATTGAAAGAAGAACCTTTTAGCCCATGAAGTTCCCTTCTCAGCTGTGGCTGGGGTCCTTCCCCTTTACCAAGCCACTGTCTACGATGCTTAACATTTCGATAAAAGATCCATTTTTGTCACCAGTCACAAGTCTATCCAAAAAAGGTGAAACAAGTTGGTGAGAATGGAGAGAAGAGCAGATGTCAACTTGGGATTTGAGGTTGTTTTCAGACAATTCATGAGGCACCCATTTTCCAAGTTTAGGAACTTTTCCAAGTTGTTGAAGATGACGATGAACAGTTGTATGGTTTGAACTGAGAACCACTGCCAATTCCTCAACTGTTAAAGCAGGATTTTCTTCAAGTGCTGCTTCAAGAAGCTTTTCATCGAACTCAATTGCACGTCCGGTTCGATCTTCATCTTCAAGGGTGAAATCTCCACCTCTGAATTTTGCAAACCATCTTCTGCAAGTTCTTTCATTCACACATTCCTCTCCATAAACTGAGTGAATGTTTCTAGCCGCTTTGGCTGCTGAGTTTCCTTTCTTGAACTCATAAAGCATGATGTGCCTCAAAAGATTCTTGGGTACTTCCATGTTAGCAGGGTTTTAATCAAACAAAATTTAATTTTATTGTTCCCTGAAATAAAATTTGATCAGTTTAAATGCATCTAAACATAAAAATAATGTTCAGCTCCATTAGACATTATATAATACTCTTCAAATTTTGTTCATTTTAACAAAAAGTTAAAATTCGGACAGAAGTTATGGGATGACCTGATAGTTTATTGTCTTACCAAGGCTGCAGATGCAGTTTATCATCATAACCAGGACAGTTAAATGTAGGTATTTTATGCCTAAAATATACACATATGCAGAAGGTGTAATGGATAGCTGCTCAGAATGAGAAATCGGAGAGCCATGAAATTCCATTCAGGTCAGTTACATTCACTTATGTGCAAATACCTTTGGGAAAGGTAAGAATCCATCTCAAACATCCTGCTATAGTTAAATAGTAGAAATTGTATCTGGAAAAACCCTTGTAATTCTTCAAAAAAATTGTTAACGTATTATTCACTGACCAAAAAAGAAAAGAAAAAAATTCTTAAAATCCAAAATGTATTTCGGCTTTAAAATAACCCACAAAGAGTTGATAAACCATAAACAAATTAATCAAAAACCAATTCAAAATGTAGCTGGTCATAACTCTCCAGCATTTAGAATCCAGAATTTTCTTTCTCTTAGATTCAGTACCATCCAAGGCTAGAAAGCAGAGTCTACCTTGCTATTTAACCCATAGCTGGAGAGAGAAGAGATGGATTCATGCCTTTTGTAACAGATGGTAGCCTGAAATTTGAAGTCGACATGCCAATCCTTTTTTTTAACACATACTAGTAGTACATGTTATGATTTTTTATTTTAATCTTAGAGGAAACATTGTCAGGTATTATTAATTTGACTTTTATTGCAGCTGCCAGATTGTCATTCTTTATCCAAAGGATAGGAGTTGAAGTCTCAGAGACATATTCCAATACATACTGCTCACTAACAATTGAGGAATGATAATCTGAAAGTTGTGCTAAAAAGGATATGGAAAACAAAAAAAATCAAAGACAAACATCTAATTAACAGCAAAAAAGTTGCTCAATGTCTAAATAATCAAGACAGAGCAAATATACTACCCAGCAACACTACTCAAAAAGAGATAAAATTCAGACTGCTACTTAAATTTCATGCTCCAATGATTGTCAAGTGACTATAACACTAAGTTAAACACCTCCTGATGAGTGGACTGAATGATTACAAAATGGTTTGTCTATGAAACTCTGGAGTCATGGTGTTGAATATAACATCAATCACCTAAGTAATAAAAATGTTATTTAAATAAATTTGTGGATATACATGTTTGAGTAGACACATTGTTTTTGGCTTTTTTAAATAATGTGAATTACATCTACCAGCTTGTGCACTAAAGACACTTAAAAAAGTAAATGTACTCTCCAGCAGAGTTTGAACATTACTAGATTGTGACTGTTTGGTTTGGTTTATTTTGTTTTATAGCAAGTCAATCTAAATGAGTTATTTAATGCTGACAAGATTTTTAGGAAGGGTTCAGATGAATAGAATATGTATTCTTTGTAAGAAATCAGTTTGTAGATCAGATTTCATTGACATATTTTTGAAAAGAGAGTTCTTGTTGAGAGTCAAATGTATTGCTGGTAATATTTTTTTCCAAAAATGTCTTGCTGGTAGTTTTACTATAGAAATCTATTTTTATACTTTCATAGTATTTTAACCATAGTTTGGAGGGGGATAACTATTTGCCCATAGCTGGGACCCTAACAGGTGCTATCACCCCAGGTGAAGGTAAACTGCAGTGGTCCAGATTCCTCAAAACCTCCCAGATCAAAGGTCTTGCTGTCTGATATAATTTATCATCATACCCAGGATGAAAACTCTTTGTGTCCAAGCGCTCTAAAGCATGACAGATCAATCTCCTAAAATGGAGGATACAAGTTCAAATTCTGCTGGAGAGCACATTCACTTTATTATGTCTCTCAAATGCATAGGCCAGTAGATGTAATTCACATTGTTTAAAAAAAATAAGGCGTCTATTATATATATATATATATATATATATATATGTCCATTAAAAATAACATTTGGTGCAATAAGAAATAATGTCAGATTTTAAAATTCATTAATTCCTTAGAAATATAAACCCAATGTGACTTTATAAATCAGAAAATTTTTTCCCACTTTTTAGCAATGATTGATTCATTTTCTATGGCTTAACCTTTTACAGGTTATTTAAAGCCAGAAAATATTTTTAGATTATAAGAATTTTTATTTTTTATTGAGATAATTGTTTTGTGATACAAGTTTTACTAATTAACCCATAACTGGAAGAGGAGAAGGGGTGGATCCATATCTTTCCTAAGGGCATTTGCACACAAGTGACTATAACAAACCCGTCTGGAATTGGAACTCTGTTCTCCAAATAACAATTTCAAGCTATTATCTATTGTACCACATGTACATCTAAACACTTGGTATTTCAAAGCAGTCACCCATCTAGGTACTGACCAGACTTGATGCTGCTTAATGTGTTCATATGGGAACCAGTTTCTTAGCAATGAATAGGAAGTGAGTGCAGATAACTATAGCATATCAACTGAATATCAGTTGTTATGGTAACATAGTATTACTAAAGTGTGTCAATTGAGAATATACCTTATATTATTGTAACAAAATATCTTATCAACAAATAATGATAAAAGACTGCTAATATATTGCTTTTTATATCCTTTGTGTAAACTTTTTCTTTTCTTCTTTTTTCACTTTTAATGATTAAAAAGCAAAATTCTTTCTTTGCATGAAACAATAGTCAACTGCATTGTTAAAAATCTTAAGTCACTCATACAGAAAATATAGCTAATTGGTACTTTGTGGAACAGACTCCCAAGAGGATACTTTCCTGATCACTACAATAATAACCTCTTCAAGTTTAGGGTCAACTGTTATCTAACCTAAATATTTTCATAATCTGCACTTATGTCCTCCTCATATGTTCATACAAGAACCACCCTCAGTAACACTCTACCTTGAGTGTCTCTTGGGCTTTGTAATCAGTAAGCATTTACTAAAAAAAAAAGAAATTAAATATTATCACCATTTATCCTTTTTTTCTATGGTATGTGTAAACTAGCCAATAACTGACAATGTTTTATCTTAGAAATTAAATAAAAAAATATAAAATAAAAAAAACACAAATTATCCAAGATGTGTTGTTTCTTCTGATTGTATAGAAAGGAAAGAATGACGAATCTAGTTCAACTCAATTTTGTGATAACCTACCAGTAATAAAAAACTCAAGGTAACAGTAAGCCTGTTAATTACAGCTAAAAAACATACATTCACATAGCATCAATTGTGCAGTGGCCTTGCCTCTGATACTTTATAAAAGATAAACATTCAAAAACAGTTAAAAAAAAAAAAATTATCACCCAATTATCTGAATCTATTAATCAGATAACAAAAGTTAATTGCCTTGAATATCTATTTTACACCAAATATCTGTTCGAGTTGTCATTGTATAGCTGCTTGTGTTTCATAATTATATAGAACAACACAGTTACTGGATTATCTTGGCATAAAAATTCAACACTAATATCTGTATTCTTGACACCAGAGAATATTAACGCTTTTTATTAGTGGAGCATGTGATTACACTTTACTCGTGTTATATAAAGTTTCAAGAAAAACAAGAAAGTATCTCTTTCATACATATCTTTCTAATCCCATCAGTTAGTATAGAATACCATGTCAACCTTCTTGCTTTTAAATATTACAGAAGAAAGCCCTATCAGCTATAGCTGCTGATGTATAAGGACTATATTTAAACTTATAAAAACATTTCCATACATGAACTGCTATTTGTTTTTTGTTTTTTTTATTCAGATATATGGAATCTATGGATATGCAGATAGTGTAACAGCTGAGTTTGAATTCTGACCAATTCACATTTGTACAAATACCTTTGGGAAAGGTATAAATCCAGGTCTTTATGACTTACAGACAACACTGGTTCCCATATGATCACCAAAGTTAAGCAACGCTGAGCCTAGTCAGTACCTCATGAGTTACCACTTGGGAATACGAGATGTTGTAAACTTAGATGTATGGATGGTGTAACGGATACTGTCTCAGAATTGTTAATTGTAGAACAGTGTTCTAATTCTTGTTGGGTCTGTTATATACACTTATCTGCAAATACCCTTGAATTAAAAACCTGTACAGAAAACTGTCTGCATAAGCTATGTGTGCAGAAAACTGTCTGCATAAGCTATGTGTGCAGAAAACTGTCCGCATAAGCCAGGCATACAGGAAACTTTACATAAATTATCTAGTCATTTTATATTAAAAAGACTACCTCAGGCAATGGCACCTTAGCTCCCTACCACTTCAAAATACTCTCCTTTGAGATCTCACACTAATCCCAGCATCCTCACACTTTTCAAAACAGTTTACAAAATTATCTTTCAGAGTTGTCATAATCTTCACCATCTGAAATATTCCTCTCAACAACACTTTTAGCTTTGGGAAAAGCTAAAAGTCACAAGAAGCCAAATTTGGACTGCAAGCCAGGAGGGTGGGGTTCAAATGACATACCTGAGTGATGTAATGCTTTGCCAAAAAAATCTGCACGAGATGTAAAGAATAGGCAGGTACATTGTCATGATGAGTGTGACAGTTACACAGAACAGGCTTATTCAATGCCATATCCCTTAATGATGAGTGTTCACACACACACACAGAGTATCCCTCCCACCCAATGATTGGTTGCCAAGTTACATCAGTGTTGTGCAACCGGTTCTTTAAATATTTAAAATGACTGGATACTTTTCAAAGTGATCTTGTATATTCTTACATCTTAAATATTCTGTAGATTAGTATAAATTACTTTTTGAATTTGAAAAACAGCACCAATTTTTTTTTTTAAAAAAAAAAAAAGAAAAGAAAATTCATAATCAGATGATAAATGATTGATATGAAATATCTGAACTTAGTATGTGAGGTGGAAATCATGAAAACCAGTTGTATATTTAAAAGTTTTATTTCTTTGATGTTTTGCTCCTCTTACATAAGCATTATATATATATATATATATATATATATATATATATATATATATATATATATATAATGCTTATATATATATATATTATTATATATATATAACTTCAAACATTTTTTTGAAGTAATATAAAAATCTCAGATTAAAAATATAAAAAGCCATTAATACTATATATATATATATATATATGCTTATGTAAGCAGAGCATTATATATATAACTTCAAACATTTTTTGAAGTAATATAAAAAATCAGATTAAAAATATAAAAATTAATACTATATATATATATATATATATATATATATATATATATATATATATAAAAAATTAAAAAAAAAAAAAAAAAAGTATTACCTACCATGTTAACCCAGCTACTTCTAAAATGCTATAGTCAATTTGAAAAAAGTGTTAAATTAAAAAATATATCCATGAACAAACAGGACCTGTATATAGGAAATATGTTAAAATAAAATTTAAATGACATTTTAAACTTGCTATGGATATAAGAGATAAAAGTAAATAGTCAAAAACTGATAACATTTGATAGTTGTTCTTTTAATAAAAATAAAATAAACTCAATATGTAAAAATCAGTGCTCTTTTACAAGATTAAAACAAAATAAATACTAATATGAGGGAGGTGCTGAAAAGTTCTTGGCCCAACACACTTCCCAGGCCTTATTTTAGAATCACTTTTCAGTCAAGCCAAGCACTGTGCATAATATAATAATCATCAAAACTAAATATAACTAAAGATAAATATAACTAAATATCAATAAACATAGATAAATATAAATATAATATATAAATAAATATCTATATAATAAATGCAAGTGTCAGTGTGTCACACTTTTTCAACTTTACTCCTAGAGGCCATAGTCCAATATATCAAACCATTTTGGAATCAGGCTGACTGTGAGCAAATTAAAAATATTCTGGGTTGAATCTAGACCCACAATCCTGAGCTTTTGAATTCCCAAATTTTCCTTACTGTGAATGCTTTTGGCAATTTATTTTTTTTTTTACATGATTTTTTGTGACAAATTTTTTTTGTGCATTAACAATTTTCATAACTTCGAAATAAATTTGGGAATAATCAAAATTAATTGTGAAATCCAGTGAAAGTCACTCATGAAATAAAAATAATTGTTTGCACAGAAAGTAAGGACCTACATACATCAAATTGTCTTTAAATTAAGTGGTGGCAGAAGAATTACCATTGAACTTTTAAAAAGTAAGCCTAAATATTAAAGCAATATTTAAATGCAGTGATCAATTTTGAGTTCTGTAGTTTATTGTTAGCTATCATATCTACTCCTCCCTACCTATTGTGATGAAAGCCCAATCAAGAGCCCTCCACAGGAGTTAGTTTAAATGCCATTTGATAAGTCGACTTTTAAGCTAATAAATAAATAAAAACCCTATGAACAAAAACACAAATTTTCCTTCTTCGAATTGTTAAAAGGATGAATCTAAATCAGAAATTAAATACACCATAGTTTGAGGACAGGTATTAGACTAATTCACACAATTAAAGTAGCTTAATTAAGCATACTTAAAAATAGCTATAAATAGAGAGAAAAGTTACAAAGATTTTCTATCAGTGGTTGAAAGTTGCAGGACATGTTTATAAAAAGAAAGAGAAAAATATGTTTTTCTCTAAGTCTTTTTTCATGACAGTATGTATGAAAAAATATTTTTAGCTCTTTAAAAAAATAAAAAAAAAATGGTGAATTATTTTGAGTACTTTCTATTCAATCTATTTATTTTGTTGTCAGAATCAATTTCAGAAGACTATTGATTACCAATGCTCAAGTGCCAGACTCATGCAGCATCACATGTGACTATAAAGTCCAATGTGTGAGAAGTAAACACAGATGTTGCATGTACAGGCCTGTCCCAATGATGTTGATGGTATGGTGGTCCCTAAAGCTATTTGTACTTCCTCTTTGTTCTCCTGACCTCTCTGTGTCAATTTACGAGGGGGGTGAGATTTATGCTTTTAATACTTTGAGAGGGGGTAACACTTAAAGTTCCAGGCAGGAGTACCTCAAAATTTGAATGAAAAATGATACTTTCCCCACTTCTTACATACTATCAATGTGTGCAAGATAATCCTATTGACAAAATCTTTTGTTAGCTGCCCCAGAACAATCATTGCTTTAACTGCCTTCACCACATCATCTATAAGTTATGATAAATCACAATCTGATTCATTGCCAATGTAAGCAAACCCAAAACTTACAAAAACGTCAAAGCTCTTCAGAAGTAAATTTAGAATATTTCTTAATCAGTGTCACCATTTTTAAGTGTCAGGATATTGTTTACCAAGTAATATTGAAACCACATTTACTACTGTATAAACACTGCCACCTTGTCATAATATAAAGAACTAGAATTTGTTACCAAAGCAGGAAAATTAAATTACACTATCTACAGCATAACATAATTATTACTGAACTTCCTATGTCAGGAAAATATCTCAGCAACAGCCCCAGAACAAAGGAATTTATTGTGAACATTATTGTCAGCCAGTTCCAAGTGTTTACTATACAGAATAAGTTATTCAACATACTTATGCTTATATTATACACCAAAAAATAAAATTACTATATTTGATTACCTCCAAGATTATCCAAATATTACAGTGCTCAATTTGCTGGTATTCTAAAATGGAGATATGAGTTTGAACTTTACAGCACAGGAACCAAAATCTTATGCACATAGAAAATACAAGGCTTTCTAGAATGAGTTTATAGTGGTGGACACAAAACTATACTGATAAAAAGTAACCAGGCTGTGAGGCTGTTCAAATGAAAACATGCATTGAGAAACATTAAGTTTGTGTTGTAGCTGAAATAGGCACATTTTTCACCAGTGGAGCAGGAGTTCTAAGTCTGAGGCAAGGTAAAATGTCAGATTTTGATTTCCTCTCTGGACTATTGGCATAACAAATATACTCACTTTATTCTCCCACCCTAACATTTAGTCATACACTTTACTAAGTTGAGGTTTGTAAATACTAAAAAGAACCATGACAATCAGGTATAATTCATATACTAGACTAACAGGAAAACTACATCCAACAAGATTTTCCTGAAGACCAGAGAGTTAAAATAAAGAAAAAAAATATTAAGGTTTCTGTCTGAATTCCTAGGATGAGGTATTATCCTTATTTCCACTATTTACATTTGAACTATTGTCCTCATCTTTGTTGTTGTTATCAACATTTTGGCTAATGTGCCCTCCAGCTTTCATCAGGTGTATAGTGAACCAGGTAACCTACAGGAAATTACAATTTTTTCCTTTTATTTAATCTACATGGATAGACTGTTCTCATTCAGCTATCCATGATATAATATCTAATTCTTATTTTTAGTAATGCTCAGTTAATGCTCACCCTAAACTCTTGGTGAGACACAGACTTGCATTTCTTTTGTTTCAAGAAATCTGTGTGGATGACAGCCATTTGAACTACTATAGCTAACAGTTACAGAAAATACAATCTAATCATATAAAATTTTCATTATTTTGTCTACTCAATTGTTCATTATCTGTGAGTACTGTAATGGTTGTCATCAAGGAAGATGGAGTCAGCAAACAGAGTTCAAAAACTGGAAAGCAAGTAGCTGAAAAAGATCAGCAAGTGAGAAAAGAAACTGTTAGCATAGAACTTACAGTTACAACTAGCCATTTTAGCTGTAACACGATGAGACCTGTGCTTAAAGTCTAGGTACCAAAGAAGGAAGTAATACTTATTTTGAGAATACAAAAATGTGGCACAAGGCCAAAAAGGAGATAGGGGAAGACTTAAACTTAGCTAGCCACAATTACTGATCCAAACATACCACAGTATTCATTAGAATAAAACAATATATTCTTACTTACCATTCTTACTACAGCCACCATAATACCTCAAAGTCTCTATGAAGTCCTAAGTAGCTGCCATATGTACAATTTGTTGGGAGGAGAGACAACAATTTAAAAAAATGAATCCCCAATGAATATTTAAAATGATTACAATTTTATATACA